GTATGTTATGGGCAGAAGTAATTGAACAATTAACAAAATCACGTCATTCAAAATTTCGATAGTGAAAAATCATTTGACAGAAACCTAGTAGAATTGACTTAGGATTTTATTGGGACTTGTACCAGAATGATGCAGCATGTCTTTTCAGAAAAGGCAAACCCTTTTCAGAAATATGACATTATATGAAAAGAGGAGATGTTTTTTTTTTTACTTTTTCATGTCCATCAAGGAATCCTTGTTAGGATCTCTGAGATCTCTTGACCTTTTCTCTAAAAGAATCTTTCTTCTCTTCTCTTGTGAGGGTTTTATTCTTTTGGTGTCATCCCAATACAAATCAAAGTTCAACTTCATTCAAACATTATTTTTTATGTATTTTATTAGTAAAAAACTTATTATACATTCAAGAATATCCAAATTTCTTTTCAATAAATTTATACTCAAATTAAACTTTTTAATGAGATAAACCCAAGGATACAAAAAGTTATTACATCAAAGTGTAAATAAATTATAATCACACGATTGATGTGAGGTTAAAAATTTAATAATATTAACTGAATGGTTAAATAATCTCATAATATTCATTGTTTATAATTAAATCAAACGTCTAGATGAGAGGTCTATTAAGCATAATATTATTAATTTTAAAATTCTTAAGGCATTTAAATATTAAATACAGCAACAACAACAACAAGTCTTTATCCCACTAAGTGTGTTTGGCTACATGAATCCTTTTTCTCCATTGAGTCCTATTGAGTGTCATATTTTCATTTAATTCTAGTAGATTAAGATCATTTTTATACAATATGCCCAATTCTTTTTAAGTCTACTTCATCCCTTCTTAATATAAGTTGAATCTAAAACATCTACTCTTATAACTGGATCATCAGATGACCAACGTTTAATGCGACCAAATCATCTAAGACAACTCTCTCTAATCTTGTCTGCCACTGGAGCTACCCAACCATATCATGGATAAATTCGTTCAACATTTTGTCTCCAAGTGTCCAGCCACTCTTCCACCTAAGCATCCTCATCTCAGCAGCACTTAACTTTGTTTTATGTTTTTGTTTTAAAGGCCAACATTCTATGCCACTAAGCATTATATGTCTCACAACCATCTTATAAAACTTTCCTTCAAGTCTAAG